ATAAGTTAAAAGTGCAATAAATATATTTTTTATAATACATTTGTATTAAAAAAAATAAAAGTTAATCTTTAACTTATTAATTGTTCAATTAAATGTATTCACTTAGCATCAATACTAAAATTAATATCAATTTTTATATTTTTTTATATATATTATAACAAAAAGGTACCCTTAACCTCTATCTAAAGTACAAATTAGAAAAATCTTATAAGCAAATGCAAAATGAGTTCTAATCTATACTCTAAAACTACAAGTTAAAGGTGTAATTATTTTATTTTTTTTATATTAATTAGTATTAAAAAATACAAAAATTGTAATTAATTTCATTATCAATGTCATGTGAATCATTTTAATTGAACATTTGTTTAAATAAAAGTCAATTTTTATTTTTTTTAATTATCCAACACTAAGTAACCTACTTAGTACTTACCATCCCTGTAAGTGACAATACTGAATATTCAAATCTTGGGTTTTAACCAAGGTAAGTACCACCGTTCTCCTAATTTTCTCTAGTGTAAAAAAAAAAGTCAATTTTTATTTTTTTAATATTAATTAATATAAAAATAATACAATAATTACATTTTTAACTTGTATCTTAAGGTAAAATAGAATAGCCTCAATCAAATAAAGATATTAAAATAAAGTAACTATGAGTCACATAACATGTGCATTATGAAAGGGCACCTTTTTGTACGCTAAAAAAATATTTTGTAATGTCAATTATATTTGATTACATAAGGTAACTATTAGGTGAAAAATGAGTTTTTTGATATTGGGATTTGTTCCTCATATCCAATGAATTATGTTTAACAATATAATAAAATTTGAATTACAAAAAATAAACTTATTTACATATTGACATCTTTTGAAACAATTTATTTAGTATAACAATTTGATATCAATGATTAATAGTTTCATTTAATATAATGATTGATGATTACTATTATTAACAGCTGCAAACCACATTTCTCGTGTTCTATCCCGTTTCCTAATCATTTGCATACAATTCTACGTTCAACTTTTATACAAACTTTGCATTCTATAAATTTCCCATTACTTTCTTGTAAAATAAATTAACTAAATCACTTCTATATTAAGTTTGCTGTAGAAAACTTTATAGTATAAGTTAAAAATAATTTTACTTTTCTAGTTAACACTCAATAGTTTAATTCAATCAGTACAACATGTTATCAAACCTAATATTTTATTGTATTTTCAAAGTGCCTTTCAATATAATTAAACCTGTTTGCATTTTGCATCTCTGATTGGTATGAGCAAATAAAACCTTAAACAAAGTGATATTTTATCAAGCCTTAAACATCTTATTTGATATTCATTTCATCTTTTGCCCCACTAGTTCAAACGAAAGATTAGCTAAAATTGCTTACGTTTAATTAAAGGTTAAAACCCAATTGGGTCCTTGAACTATTATACGGATCTTCTGATTTGATCTTTAAACTAAAAAAATCCCTGATTTGATCCTTGAACTATTACACGAACCATCAATTTGATTCCTATTGTTTACTAATTTAACCCCAAATTGGTTATTTCGTACAAACAATAATTGATGTGTCCGTTATTTAACGATAAAAAACAGTAACTTAATTATCACGTGTTATGTTAATAACAAGACATATAAGTTATATTTTATGTGAAAGGACCAACTTGAAATAAATTAGTAAACAGTAGAGATCAAATTAAAGATTCATATAATAATTCAAGGATTAAACCGAAGATTTTTTTTAATTCAGAAATCAACTTCGAGATTTTACCTTAATTAAATTAAATAAGTATATGCAAGGGAGCCCATGGTACCCCAGCACCCTGTTCGATCGTGATTGTAATAATTAGATGTATGATAAGGGTAGTAGATGTTTTATTGCTTATTATTGCCTTTCCAAACAGGCCCTCCTAAAGACACAACATTTGCTTTCAAAGAGAATGGGTCGAAGACTTTGGAAGGAATCCCAGAGGATTAATACTAATTATTTGGATCATGCTAGGCTGGCGTTCCGTCCACTGCCACGTGTTCTTAATTCTCTCCTAATGTCGAAATTTCATTTTAATTAATTATGTAATTATTTTTTGAATGAAACATACTAACTAATTGAAATCTTCATGGGAGAGAAAGAGAATGATAGAAACAAAAAATAAAGGTTTAAGCCTAAACCATATAGATGAGAAATTATTTTTTTTTATCAATAATGTAAGTAAAAGTCTTCTTCAATTAGTTCAATTTAAACTTACTCTCAATTTTATAAAATGTTTGGTTAAAGAAAAATAAAAAGGAGAAAAGGAAAAGGATGAGTTTTTTTAATTAATTAAATTATATTATATATTTTTTTAAATTATAAATTTTATTTTTATAAGACAAACTAGTTAATTAAAATTCTCATAAATGAAAAGAATATGGTAAGAAATAAAAATTCAAATCCATCCCATATGGGCCTTCCTCGACGTTATAAAATTTAATTTAATACATTACTAGGGTAAGGAAGAAACAAAATATTTCCTTTTTTTTTCTTAATTTTAAAACTTTAATTTATACCTTATTCTTTGCACTTTGATAAAAAAAAAAAAAGCAATTATAACATTTGTGATTAAAGTTTTACATTTATTTTATATTAAATAAAATTAGATATATTACGTCAATTAATGGCACGTTATCCTATGAATAATATTAAAGTCAAGAAGAATTTTAAATTAATAAAAAATATTTAAATAAAAAATTAATTTTTTATTTAACTTTAATAATTTTATTTAAATGTATTAATTTTATATAAAAATTTAATAAATAAATATTAATTTAATACAATAATTATACCATTAATTTATACTCTTAAAAGTCCAAAAATATAAATTAATAGAATTAAAAATTGAAAGAATGTAGTAATACAAATGTAAAAAAATACGAATGCTAAGCGGCGCATAATAAAAATTTACGCGAAGTTTAAATGTTTACCCAAAAACTATTCATTGTTGTTTAAAAAAAAGATGATGATGATGCAGGGTACGCAGTCTGTTCTGTGCAGCGAAAAATACACATTTCCGTCACGAACACAGAGCACGAACCACAATCGCCGCGGAGATCACCGCTCTTCCTCTGTATCTCCGTCAATCCAAACCTATTAGCCCCGGTTCCGACTGGTAAATTTTCCGGGTCAATTTTGCAGCAGGTTCAGAGTGTGATTCTTCACTTGGGGATTTTGGGGGATTTTGTTGGGATTTCAAATGAAATGAAAAACCCGCTCAAGTTCCAAACCTTCGACTCAGTTCCTGCGTAGTGAATAACCATAAAGGGTACTCGGGATTTTCTCTCATGGCAAAGCGCGTGTACGAAGTTTGGAAAGGAAAGAATGTAAGGCTTTGATTTTAATCTATTTTTGAAATTTTTGTGATTTTCTGTATAAATTCTTGGTTTTGGCATCTGGGTTTGTTTTAGATTTGTTTCTCTTAGTGGGTGTTTAGTTGTTTTTGATTGATTTAGTGCGATTTTTGGTGTGGGTTTAAAATTGGATTCAAATTAGGTTTTTATTATCTACATAGTGGATTTATTTGCATTGGGACTAGTTTGTGCCTTAGTCTATGTTTCGTTTGTGGGAAAATGGATTATGGAAGAAGGGAAAATGAATCTCTCAGTAATTTTGACTGTGTTAATTTTTGGTGGGGAGAGGCTCTTAAAACTTAGGAGTTACAGATGCTGGAAATTTTTATATAGATTTCTTTTATCAGCATGCTGGACAATTTATAATATATACTTAGTTGTACAGCATAGAATGTTTGATGGTTTTAATGTTTTGAGATATGCTGTGCATTTGACAATAAGGCTCGGAAAAGATTAGATTTGCTTTGTCCCTAATGTTTGAATGCTTCTAAAAGTGGATAAGCATTAAGTCATGGTTATTGATTTTACTGTTTTACTCTTACCTATCTCATTAAAATGGCTTTTTGCTTTATAACACATTCGGTGTTTAGTGTGAAAAGGTGATACTATACTTAAGAAACACAATTCTATTCATTTTTTGATTTGGAAATTTTTGCATGGTTAATCATTTCATTTAAGATCTTTTTTGTCAAGGCTGCTTGAAAATGCAACCATACTGATACACAAAAGACAAAGATAAAATAACATTTGCACTAAATATGTGAAGTGAATATCTATTTGTGTCGTGATAGCAGCATCTTCCATGGATTGTTGACTATCATTGAGCATGTACTGTATTTAATTCTTGGGATCTTTGATTACAAGTGACAACAAGCAAGTGATATAGAAATAATATGTTGAGTACTTGCAGGATACCTTAGTAAAATTTTTGCATGAACATGTTATTGATGCTATATCACAGAGTTTTACTTGATATAATTTCTGAAGGGGAGAGTGTTTTGAACGTGTGTTGATTGTTGATTGCATGTGAAGAGTAGACGGGAGACTTTGAAATTGACAAAGCTGTTTATGTTTCTTTTTAATGCAGTAAGTTGTAAAGAGATGCTTATTGGTACTTGGATGTTTTCCCCTTCAATTTTTTGTTTTTGAGTGTGCAAGTAGGTAGACCAAAGGGGATGGTTGGGGTTACGGAGTTGTGTAATCATCTGATGACTTTAGGTGGATTTGGGGAATTGATATCTTAGTAACTAACTGATATTTATTTTTTCATTTGATTCGCAGCCTATCTTGACAAGTTCACATTGATTGATCATGGTTTAGCATTTGATTACTCTCTGTTTATATTTTGCAGAAATTTATTTTTGATGGGAGGCTGATATTTGGACCAGATGCTAGGTCACTGCTTGTCACGTTATTGCTGATTATTGTTCCTGTTATTATTTTTTGTGTATTTGTTGCGAGGCATCTTCGACATGCATTTCCGCCACACAATGCAGGATATGCTATTCTGGTGGTAGCAATTGTCTTTACTCTCATTGTTAGTTCTCTTCTCCCCTTGACTCTTGAAACTTATTGTCTTTCATGAATTTCGTTAAACATGTTCTGTAGCATACCCCATGGATACCTTTGTGTCAACTACTGCCTAAAGAATTCTAAATTTCTAAGAATTGCAGTCCCAATGTTGTTGCAAGATCATGTGCCTGTTTGAGATTTGTGAATATTTAACTTTTTAGTCATTAATAATCTAATTGAAATATCCTCGGTCATCTATTCATACCCCCTTTGTCCCAAAATAACTGTTGTTTTTTGCCTCAAATTCTGTTCCAAATTAATTGTCGTTTTTTTATTTTCTAAGGAGACAAATATTTTTTTCCTACCTTAACTTTATTGTGATCCATTAACTTTAATTATCCAGCCCATCACCAAATTTTTCTCTTTATCATTTTTTTTATGGATAATATAAGTAAATACATAAATTGTCTCTAAATTTCTAATCTGTGGGAAAAGTAAAAAAAGCAACATTTAATTTGGGAGAGAGGGAGTAGTATGTTTAAATTTTATCATATGGTAACCTTTTTTTTTTTTTTTTGGTTCACATTCATATGATCACCTAATTTTGTAGAGTATGGGTCAAATATTGGTTGGACACCTTCATTCAGCTAAGGCCAGTTGACAAGTCATGTAGAAATGTTTTCTTGGAAGATGTTTGGTTTTCTCAGATAAAGTTCAAGATTCTACTAACTCTTGATGTATTGTATGGGAAAAGACATTATTGAGTGTAACAGATAGATTTAAGATGTATTTGTCTCTCTTTCATTACCTATTTGTCATAGACATTCCTTATGCCTATGTTTTAATCACAATTGCTTTTGTACTTTGTAGGTGTTGTTTCTTCTCTTCCTCACATCAGCACGGGATCCAGGAATCGTTCCACCTAATTCACATCCACCAGAGGAAGACTTACGATATGATACTTCTGCTGCAGTTGATATTGGAGGAAGACAAACACCTAGCCTTCAGTTTCCTCGAACAAAAGATGTTATGGTTAATGGCAATACCGTGCGAGTAAAGTACTGTGAGACTTGCATGCTTTATCGTCCTCCGCGTTGCTCCCATTGTTCCATCTGCAACAATTGTGTAGAGCGTTTTGATCACCATTGCCCTTGGGTGGGACAATGCATTGGACTGGTATGCTGGTTTATGTGCAATTCAAAACACATATTCTTTGTTGTTTGCTTTTCTAAGCAATTTTATAGCATGAAGCTAACTTCTGTGTGCATGGCAGCGCAACTATCGTTACTTCTTTATGTTCGTTTCTTCAGCAACCCTTCTCTGCATCTATGTGTTCTCCATGTCAGCAGTGTATATTAAGGTTCTGATGGATGATCATAACAATAGAACGGTCTGGAAAGCTATCAAGGAATCTCCGCCATCTGTGATACTCATGGCCTATTGTTTCATTTCCCTCTGGTTTGTTGGTGGACTCACTGGGTTCCATTTGTACCTCATCGCAACAAACCAGGTTAGATGAGTTCTTATTTATTTATTTATTTTTTGTTGTTACTATTATGATGTCATAAGTCGTTGTCGGTTCCAATCATTACTAATAACAAGGAGCTTGATTTTTAAGCTTGATGGAGTTGGTTGAACTTCCAAGTGCTTAATTTCAGTTAGTGGCAACTATTAGCAAAATAGACTTGAGTTGTCTTCTAGAAATACGAGGGAAGAAAACAGAAACTGGTTCATGTAATCATCTTAATAGTCCTCTTGCACTATATATTACTATTTCATCTTCACTGTATTAAGATCCATTAAACTTATGAGTTTTTTCTGTAGCTAACTAGCTGTTACTTCATTTATGCAGACAACCTATGAAAACTTTCGGTACAGAGCCGACAATCGGCCCAATGTTTACGATCAAGGTTGTCCAAGTAACTTTATTGAAGTATTTTGCACAAAGATAAAACCATCTAGGAACAACTTCCGTGCTCTTGTGCAAGAGGTGCCACCACGGCCTATTCTGCGAAGCACTCGTGAAGCAGATCCAGAAGATTTGGAGGGAGACCAGAACCCACGTTCAAAAGTTGAGGATGATCTGGACATTGGCGAGGATCTACTAAAGATATCTCAACGGCGCAATATTGAAGAAATTGATGAGGACATTCGCAGTAGAGGGAGCAATAATGGCCCTCGTAATACATTAGAAGTTGAATCTGTTCTTGGTTCAGGTCATCGAGCTCCCACAACTCGATCAGACACAAGTCACTCAAGTTGGGGAAGAAGCGGGAGCTGGGAAATTGCTCCGGAAGTCCTTGCCAATCCCACAGTCACGGAAAGCAGAATCCATATCCCTCCAAAGGAAGCACGCCAATGATTTGAGTAGTTTGTATAGTTGATAGAAGGATGGTTTTGCATGCAAGGGTGATGTGCAATTACGTGGTTATATATTCTTACATATGGAAGATGTGCTGATCAGAAAATTGGAATATCCATCCGTGGTTATAGAGTCTCCCCCTAGCTGAAACAGCACTTGTATTGCCCTGTTTCATTTTTAGTTTTATTTTTCTTGCCTTCTGGGTATTTTTAGCTCTTTATTTTCTTTGGGAAAGCAGTCAATAGGAATTTGTCTTTTAATTGTTTGAGGAGATAAGGAAATAGTGTCTTTGCCATTCCATTCCATTTTTTGTTCTGCTCTCTTTGTTTTCAAGTTTATTGTCCTCTTTATAATGTTATTGAATGGTTTTTATTGCCTTGGATTGGCTTATCTTCTTTTGCTTGTACCATTGCTATTTGTAGTAGCATTTCTTATTTGTTTGTTTTTTTTTTTTTTTAAGAAAGCACAATTGTATTAACGGTGCAAAGGAAAATGTTAATTAATGCATTTCAAAACACTATGAAGTATTTGAAAAAAAGTTTGTTGCTTTACAATCTGCCGAGGGCCCAAGATATCAAGTAACTCACCTTTCACTTACAAGCGTGTGTTTTGGGATTTGTATAATTTAAATTATAAAATAT